TACTACATGTTTTAAAAGGTTATGGAGGCTCATAGAGTGTTTGTTGTTTTTTTCATCTGTCTTGCTTTATAAGAGTTTGCCACTATAAAGGGTGTTAAGTCTATCCCTTCTCTCCTTCCTATTCACTGCATTCGATGTGGTTAAAATGTGCACGGCTTCAGAAGTCAATCTTTCTTTATGTGTTGAATGAAATCCTCTTCCAAGAATTTTGACATTGTCCAAATCAATCTTATGTCCGCTGCCCATAGACACTATGCATTGCTATAGCCGATCTTTTTTCTAGACTTTTTAATTCTACTTCATTTCTAGGCGGGGACGTTTCTTGCATAGTCTATGTTCATTCACTCTGACCTTCACCTGCCTACTGCTCTCTCCTATATAGCATGCATCACATTCTGAATACCTTATCCTGTAGAAACAATTACTTTGTGACATTTTGGGAACTATATCTTTGACATTCACCAACGCTTTCTCCTTTATCACTAGCGTTATCTTAACTTACTTTAACACTATTATTATTATTATTATTGTTATAACTATTACTACTGATATCACTCTATTTGCAATTCTTAATATATTCTCTAACGTTAATAAATGTTTATACGTCTACAACCAAGGCAGAAATAGACACTGTACATCCTTCTTTTGCAAACAAACGTCTGACTTGAATTCGTAAATGTCCTAGGCCTTTGCTATCTTTAGATGCTTAGAACGATGAAAACATGGAAAGTTAGCATAAAATGTAATAGATGATCTTAAAGGCATGATCGGAGTTGGATTGAGAGACAGAATTCGATCAAATGTTCTAGTATAGCACTTTTACACAACCTTGCTTTCTTCCGTGTAAAACCATGCCGCTGGAATATATTCTCGTATCCGTGTCGAAAGCGATGTTCTCTAGCTACGGCCAAAGTACCTTGCTTCACAAGAGGTAGGTCAACTTGTAACAACAGAAGACAAGGGCCAGGCAACAGATCGTTTATTAAGGAAATCAACACATATTTATACATTTTCATGTACATTATTATAGATTATTGTTAGCAGAAAAACACAGTCTTCTGATTGGTTGTTTCTCACTGAAAGTTAATCTTTCATTTCTTTGTGACTGTTTCTTGAATGTCAGATCATCTATCTGCTAATTGTATCCGCCTACGCAAAGTCTTCTGTCAGTCTTTGTTCTTGTTTTCACATAATTAATATTTGGGACATAAACATTGACGTAAATTACTGTCACCACAAACTGAATGATGCTCATGGAGGCAGCCAGATCAGACAGCTTATCTTTTACAGAGATGGAGAACAACTTACGGTTTTTTGCAGTACTGAAATCGATCTTATCACATTTCACACTGTGTTATGTGACGTTTTATATTCGCCTAATAACTTTCCCCCTGCCAGCATCGATATATCCTACGAATTACTCTATGTATGACATTAGTTGCTTTGCCATTTGATATTTACCTATGATTATGATCACAAACGTTTTAATTGCATTTATTATTATTGCTGTTATTATTATTATGTATTCACAACTATTATTGATATGAGGATAAAAGTTGGGTACTGTGGTAGAGTATAATTCCATTATGGATAAAATTTATTTTGATAAAGTAACAGAATGTTATACGGTAATATTTATTGATGACCACGTATCGAGCGCAATTTATTGCCATTCATAATCATATCAAGTTACACACGTAACCTTCCAACTTCGTTTATATATGACTCCACTATTTCTCATCTCTTTATTTGATGTTTTGGTAGTAAGATTTTCCATATTTCCAGTAGGAGTGATGAGTCATTCCTATTGCACGTGTTGTGTTGGGTGTAGATTCTACTTAAAAGAGAGATTCCGTAATCAACCTCCCTTGCTCTCCACCTACCTAGATTACTTTTTAGAATTTTAACCCTATCCCACCATACTATTGTGTGGTTGTGTGTGTTAATGCATGAATCGGAAAATGAACAAGGAGAATTAGCTCTGCGTCGGTGGCACAGTGGTTAGGACTCTCGCCAACCATGCACATGGTCTGAGGTTCAGTCCTCCGCCGACGCACAACTGATATCTATGGTCGGCCTGAAAAATTTGGGCTACCGATATCCATACTGAAAATACGGCGTGGAATCAAGCTGTAATAAAAAAATAGCTATGGTTTTAGATTGTAAACTAAAATGAACAGAAGAAAGTAAACTGCACACTAGCGTTTATAAAAAGCCAACGCATTTAGATAATATATACTTAGACTTTAATTCATCTCATCCGTCGTTATCTGTCTGTTAAGGCAGGCTTAGTTTAGTGTCTAAACAACCGAGCGGTAGCACTGAGTAGCACAAGGAAAGACCTAAATGATGAAATGAAACAGATAGAAGAGGCGTTGGTGTTGAATAACTATCCTATAAAATTCATTAGGAAGATCAGAAAAGGCCAAATGAAAAATAAAAATAATTGTGAAACTAATAATAATAACATAAATAAGAGACAATATAAGTCATCTACAGTTATATCATCTAAAGAGGGGACATCTGAGACCCTACGTAGGATTCTAAATAAAGCAGGAATTAGAGTGGCATTTAAACCTACAAAATCACTCAGGTAGGACAAGCTCTGTAGGTTGACCCAATTAGACAAATTAATATAATTTTAAAAAAATACCCTGCAATGACTGTGAGGTCAAACTAATAGATCGCGAGCAGTCCGATTAAAACAATTAGTCCCTTTGATAAATTTGTATAGGGCATTTAGAAGACAAATTTCCCGAGGTAATGTCGTCATATCGTAGTTTCTCTCTACGATCGTTTTACAACTAGCATGGTTCACCATAATAAAATAGAATGCATGACATTCGAGTATTGGTTTGTAGGGGTTTGGTTGATTGGTTACAGGATTTCATCATGAGCTGACATTGGTTAGAGAACCATTGGAAAACCTAGGAGTACTGGACAACTGTTTAGTCCTAGTTTGGGACTCTTCAGCAGTACGCACGCACCCACCGGGATTCGAACCCAGGACCTTCCGGTTACAAGGAGAGCTAACTCGTAGACCACTGAGCCACTCACTGGGACCTGATCCAGTCGTTCATGAATTCTAACTTCTGCCAATTCACGATATAGTGCGACCCCTAGCCAATGTCCTCGGCGAGTATTTGTCTTCACACCCGACCTGCTGCACCCTACTGGTCACAACTTCTCACTAGAACCCCAGGTAACTACCTACCTGAATAGAGCCAGTCCTTAGTGGGCATCTCATTGATATTCGAGTTACTCAGTTATATAAAAAAAGTGCATAATCTGCTGATCACCAATCATATTTAAATAGGTCAAGTAGTCAGTCCATGGTAGGCGACATTAATTGAAGTCTATTGTTTTTTGTACACATAGTTTACGCTGCATATGATTTATCCGAAATGTTTCTATTACCTTTTAACAACCAACCTTAAATTAGAGTTATGTGATAAAATAATTGTGAAACAGTCATTCATATTGATTTTGTGACCTGACAGTAATAAGAGCTTCGGAATAAATGAATGATGATGGATTTCTATTCAGATTAATAAATTGCATTGGAATTTTCTTTCTTTCGCTTACCATGAATTGACTACTTGACCTATTTAAATATGATTGATCATTAGTATGTACTTTTGTCTTTCATATAACTGGATAGCCAGATTGTCAGAACTTAAGAATTTAGCTAAGTGTGTAGACTGATTGACTCTGTAAAAATAAGTAATTTACAAAAGACAAATCAACAATTGCACTGCATGCATCAACACACTATATGGTGGGGGGGGGGCGGGAGGTTAAAATTCTTAAATGTAATATAAAGAGATGGAGAAACAGGTTGACTGCTGAATCTTTGTTCATGGAATCTACACACCCAACATAACACGTGCAATAGGAATGACTCATCATTCATACCAGAAATATGGAAAACATTACTACCAATCAAATCAAATGAAGAGATGAGAAATAATGGAATCATCGAAACGAATCAAATCCTTACAGAAAGGTGATTGTCTACTCGCATGATGGAGCATTTGTGCGTCGGTGGCGTAGCGGTTAGGATGCTCTCCGACCATGCACATGGTCCGGGGTTCGATCCCCGGCCAACGCCCTCCTTTACCTTGCTAAGCCAGAAATAATGCTGGTAAAGAGGAAAGGTTGGGCATGAGGCTAGCAACCCCATCCTGTAAAATAAACACTGCTACAGAAACTTCAAGCCACTAGCTTGAAGCCCTATGTTCCACTGGGGAACGTGAAGGAATATATATATATATATATATATATCCGTGTATGTAGAGTATTCAGCTGATGAAGAGTTCTACCGAAGTTTGATGAATCCATCATTAAATCCTGCTTTATTAACCGCATTTATTGGTTGTTTTAAATTCGTATTGGGAAATAAATGTTTTCAGTACAAAACAATACTTGAATATCAATGAGATGCTCACTGGTGACTGGCCCTATTCCGGTAGGTAGTTACCTGGGGTTCTAGTGAGAAGTCGTGACCAGTAAGGTGCAGCAGGTCGGGTGTGAGGACAAATACTCGCCAGAGGAGATATTGGCTAGCGGTCGCGCTATGTCGTGAATTGGCAGAAGTTAGAATTCATGGACTGGCCATTGGATCGGGTCTCCTTGGCTTAATGGTATACTAGCTGGCTCGCCTTGTAACCAGGAGGTCCTGGGTTCGAACCCCCTGTGGGATGGATGCATACTGATGAAGAGTGCCAAAGTAAGCTGGCGAAACAGCTTTCCAGTACTCCCTGGCTGGTTTTCCAACGGTTGTCTAGCCGGTGTCTGCTCATGATGAAATCCTTTAACCTCTGTTGTCAAGGAACTTAATTCTAGGATCTTATTATTTCCGAAGACATGTAACTACTCTTATCCAATTAATTAGGCCTACATGTCATTATATCGATTGATGATATGATATTGGTTTTGTTCTGTGTCAATAAGCACTAAGCGGTATACATTTTTCTCTATGTCGTCTTTATTTTCTTTAGATGTTTACCTTCGACGAACAGTGGAATAAGTTTGGCGTTTTCTGAGCCTAAAACATGTGTATATTCTATCCTGGTAAGTTGACTTTATGACTACATTTTCCATTATAATCCTGTGTGTGTGTCTGATTTGTTTTCTCGGCTTCAATGTAAACAATATATGCATCATTTCAAAACTGATTGACTGATTTCAACATAGAATTTTGCGCAGGAGCGCATTTCAAGTTGCTACTTTTATCTCCATGTAGCACACAAATCAAGAGAAGGGAGACCCAACAAGAGAGAGATAATAAATAGTGAATAGTAATATGGAAGAACAACAACAAAGTTTTATTCAATTGGATTTTTTGATTTTCCCGTCGATTGATTGGACCAAAGTGCTCGGTCTCAGGTTGACATGTCGGCTTCTTGTGTAGATGCTTCGACGATGTCTGGGCATTTAGTTAGGATACAATTGGTGGATGGTGGCTAGCAGTGGAATCCAGGATGCTCATTTCAATCCAATAATTAATATAACCCGTTGCACAAGAGGTGGCTCTCGTGGTCCAAGTGGTCTAGTGGATAACGCTTTGGCGTTCGAAACTATGGGTACTGGGTTCGAGCCTTGGTGGGAACATCATCACTCACTGAGAAATGCAGGTACATCCAGCTGACGAGTCCCAAATAGGACGAAATGCGCATCCTGACAGGATTCCACTGCTAGCCACCATCCACCAATTGTATACTAATTAAATACCCAGACATCGTCGAAGCATCTTCACAAGAAGCCGACATGTCAACCTGAGACCGAGCACTTCGGTCCAATCAATCGACGGGAAAATCAAAAAATCCAATTGAATAATTAATATGACCCGTTGCACAAGAGGTGGCTCTCGTGGTCCAAGTGGTCTAGTGGATAACGCTTTGGCGTTCAAAACTATGGGTACTAGGTTCGAGCCTCGGTGGGAACATCACTCACTGAGAAATGCAAGGAAGACAGTTAGTTGTTGATGAAGGTCTGCAACAGGCTGTTGGAAATATTCTTTGTGACCCGCCCGCCAAGTTTCTGATCCGTAAAGAAGAACTGACTGACTTGAAGTTTGTATTGAAAATCAGGCTGAATTTTGTTGTTGATGCTGGCTGAGTGACGAAGATTTCCAGATTGGTTTCAGGTTGATGAATGTCTTTCTCGCCCGATTTGACATCCTCGTCCGTTCCGACTTCTTGTAGTTGAAACAATGCTCAATGCTAGATAAGTGAAGTGAATGAAGTAACCTCTTTCAAATCCCTCCCGTTGGTGGTGATTGGTGCTGGATGTTGCTGTTGTTGTTGGTTGGTTATTTTCATAACCTCCATCTTGTCTATGTTCACCTGGAGTCCTGTCTTCGCCGGCTGCTTCTTCGACCAGTTTGTCGGTTTTCGCTTATAAGTCTTCGATTTTGTGACAGTGACATCAAACATAAATCATCCACACGCGAAATCCAGGTCTTCTAGGTTCTTCACATCGGTCCAGGATATCCCTGTCTTCTCGTTTCCCACTGATTGTCTGACGCATACTCCAGTCAGTCCACCACAATTAGGAATATCATTGGTGATAATAAGCCAGCACCCTTGTCTGACTCCTGTGTTTACTCCAAACGCCTCGCTGAGTTTTCCGTTGTGGATCACTTGACATGTGCCGTTGTTGTACAGCTGTTGAATAAGGTTGATGAATATTTGGGCGCTGCACGCCGTAGTACTCGAGTAATTTGCAAATTACTTCACGATCAACGCTGTCTGTCGAAGGCCTTCTCAAAGTCTATAAAGTTGAGGTAGAGGTTTGATTGCCATTCCATGCTTTGTTCTGTGATGATGATGCGTAGAGTTGCAATTTGGTCAGTACATGATTTGCCTGACTTTCCTGAATCCAGCTTGTTCTGGTGGGGCGGAGTTCTGTCTTCAGTGCGTCCTTTAATCTCTCCAGGATGATGCGACTCAGGATTTTACTTAATTTCGACAGGAGCATGATTCCTCGCCAGTTCTTGCAGAGTGAGGCGTAATTCGCCCTTCTGTGGTAGTTTCACGAGGTAACCTTTCCTCCGGTCAGTAGGCACCTTTCCCTCCTTCTAGACCTTTTGCAATAATGGAGTGAGTCAGCATGTCTGTTGTCGTCTCTGGGTCCGCTTTCAGTGATTCACGAGGGGTATTCCATCTGGTCCAGACAGTTTAACTCTACTTTGTCCTATTGTCTGTTGTGTCCTCTCTTTAGCTGGACTCAAGATTGCCCCCCCCCACCCCTACATAGTCTGTAATCTCCTCCTCCTCCTCCTCGCCAAACGACCCACTCGTCATCGCTTACAATTCGGGTTCTAATAGAGAAAGATATGACCTGGTGGGCGATGTCGTTCGACGGTCTACTCAGTATATGCGTGCGATTGATTCATCTCCATTTTCCTCCGCCCTATTTGTTGAGCAATCAATCAACTCTTAGTCGGTTTGTTGCCAATTCGTTTCAACGGCTGAATATTTTTCAATGCAGTTTTTT